TGAACTAGAATGACCCCCCCTAATTGCCAATTTCTGCCATGTTAATGAGTGTTTTTGGAAAGGAAAGGTTTGTTTAATCGTGTAGTTGTTGCAAACAGTGTAAAATGCAATTATGTGAACAAATCAAGCGTTTGTTACCCAGATGATTCAGAGGACTTTAAAGCACTCATATTCTTTGGCCTAGTCAGTAGCTTTTGACAAATAATGTAAGTATTCTGACTCAATTCCCATTTTTATCACTGTTTCTAGAACCTTAGATTATGAACGTTAAAAAGAAGTTGTATCATCGTAGTATAGGATGCGACTAAATACTAGGGTCTTATTGGGGAACTGGCATTTGTTTTCCTTTTGGGAATAGATAGCGTTCACCTAATCAAGAAGTCTGTATTATCCTACCACTTGTTACATACAAGGCACAATTAAAAAGCATACTTGTAGTTTTAAACAACAGAAAATCAAATTTTTTATTTGGGCTTTATTGATATCTTTCAATACAAATTCACTACACTATCACAATCCCCTTGTACAAATATTTAAAAATGCGTAGTTTGTACTTTTTGGTAAGGATTTCTTTGCTATTACACAAAAATAAAAAAGGTCTAAATAATTTAAACAATTTTTTTTCGAAAATGTGTAAAACTGGGAAATAGCCACTAGGTCAGTGCACGGTATACCACGTTTCCTGCTTAAAGGCATTTGGTTTTCACAACCTCTTAATCAATTTGTCAAAATATAATCACCCTAATAATGAATAAACTACATATTTTAGGTGTTGTTTCAGAGAATTGGTCATGTGGGGCAGCTACTCGCATGATTAGTTGGAATTGATCCTTTAGGACCAAAGGTCAAACTTACTGACTAGGCGCTATCACGCCCTCTGTACTTTCTCTGTTAGAACAAAAGGCGAGATCGCTATTGCTCTCCTGCATTATAATTGTAAAGCTATTAAAGTTTGATGGCAACATAAGACATTGAATAAGGATTACTTGCTGTATAGCGTTTTGAACCTAAGCTATCAGCCCTTTCAGCTCACATCTCCACACCCTTACTATTTTGCTACATGACGTCTGATCTGCATGTTCCCAGGCACCAACCTGATGGATCATTTGATCAACCGCAGACAAGCCCATCGCCCACTCAGCTTTAGTGCCACCAGAAATTCAATTTCACTGGTGCTGTGACGAACAGTACATTAATTTCTCCAAATCTGCACAACGTCTTTGAATGCACAGATGGGTGTTAAGTAATCACTTACCGTCTGAGCGCTCTTCTCCATAGTGGATGCGAAAGCAGTATCACCGTAATAGAGACCTATCACTGGTCACTATTACTTCATTTATCCCGCTGGAATGTCCCACAACCAGTGGTTACGGATGTTTTGCATGGCCAAGCAATCTAGACTGATAGTAGACATGGTCATAGATAAGCACTGTCTTCTCCACCAGCATGTTTCATCTTATTTAAACTCTGTGATCTCTGCACATGGGGTTTATCATCCACAACACCACATTACCATGATGTCACTCCTGTAAATAAACCACCGCTTTTCTCTTACTCTGCTCTACAACTGCCCCTAAATTCCCTTTAAGAGATTAACACGTTTGCGAAAGAAATTTTTTTCCATCAGTAAGCAGTGCTCCTCCTCCACTAAAACTTTCCATGCTCTTTAACTGATACAAGCCTGCATAGCGTCCACGCTCAAAAGATTAAGATAATTGGCTACTGTATTAATTTAAGCAGGAAAGGACTAGTACTTCCAACTAAAGAGCACTAATGCTAAAATCAGTTTTTCTAATCAGCTAAGTTAGTGTCTTGACCCTCGTCTAAAAGATGCGAATATTATCCTTTGTATAATTTAACTAAAGTAGATTAACGCAAGCTGTTTCCAAGCTTTGGTCCGACTATCAGCGTCAATACACGTGTTAAGCTGAAGGGTAAAGCAAATATTTTGGTATACGCTTGAGGACGACTAAAGGGAAATTTGCAAACTACGAAAGTCAACTGATTGATATGGGAATGAGCTTGCCGTAGGACACCGCTTGAAGTGGAATAGAGCCATTTAGGGTATAATTCGCTTATTTACTGATGTATGGAGGAAGAGTATTCGTGAGTGAGAACATGTTGAAGTGCTGTTACGATGTTCATTTATCCTCTATACCTGCTCGGAAGTTAGACAGCAGCATTGACCACTTCAGAACGCATGCTTGTACTTTTGCCACCAAGACGGTGGGTCCAAACGGTCAGTATGTTTGTTCAATGGTCAATACACTGATCAAATGTCTAGACAAAGGGCGTAGATTCGACTGTAAAGACTGATGGAGGCTTTACACATAACTAAAGCTCTACGCAGATAATATGGCAAGCTAACCCAATGTCTTTCAATACTAATTAGTAACACCATCAAATCCTTATACACAAATGTTTGAAAATTGCCTAGATTGTAATCTTTGGTAAGGAAAACTTTACTATTACACAAAAGGTAAAAAATAGTTCTAAATAGATTTAGATATATATATCTACTCTAACAAATAAAAAGCTAATAAAATCAGGTAAAAGTGTTTTTACAGTCCCATCAAGTATTTGGAATACTCGTATGACTCTGGAAAACAGATCTGCAAGCCCAAGGATGTGGGAATGATTTTCTCATTTTTAGGTTCTGTTTACAAAAATGGCAGCCTAAGTGCATTTTAAACATGTATTTCATTAAAGGAGGACAAAAGTAGGCACAACAATGACGTCTGTTGAGGCATATATTTCCGCTTCCTACAAAATTGTGAACACTATCAAAAAGCAAGTCACCCACACAAATGAATAAGTGTCCCAAGATCTGACCTTGCCTTTGAAAAATTGTATATATGACAAGTAAATGCAATCCTTCACGTAATTCTTCGATCCTGTACATTTACATAGATAGAACCACAAAATCTGGCTGTTGAGATGTCCCAAGACTCTGATCAGAAGGGATAAGGTCACTTTGGCACTACATTCACAATAGCAGTAACGCAATAATGCTGTGGGCGAGTGCGCAAGAAATCGAATTGCCTTAGCTTTAATGCGCATTCTACGATTTAATTCGGATCATCCGTTCTATTTTCATGAAACAGATCCACGACAACTGTTTATACGAGTTTTTTCAGAGAAATGAGGCAAAGCAAATCATTTGGCATGTCCTTAAGTTTAGTAACGATGCATTTTACTTTCAGTGTTCCTGGTTTACCTAAATGTGTCTGTCCCTTTAATCAGGTATCATCAGGTACAATAATCCTCAAAGAGCGTACAGTGTGCTATCACAACTATGCATATTTGCGCTGTGGGAGGGAACACCTCAGAATTTGGCCGAATCATCAGGAACTGGCATTACATAAGGCATTGCCCCAAGCACCGGATAACACGCTTGCTAAGACCCACAACCTAAAGTACACACAAAATTATATGACTTTTGGTAATGAATACTCCTAACCCCCCAAATTCTTACTCAAATGCCCTTTTCTGGGTCGCAATTGACTTTGAAAACGTGCGAAGACGCAGTCAGTTGACAGGTAGGTCTTGGTCTTTTTTTTACTGAGACAAAGAATTAAATCCCATTGATAACTTTGCAAAAAGTTGGTGCAACTCCTGGGTTTGAAATATTCATTCTGTAAGCCGAACCTAGCAATTCATAGTTTATAGCTCCATTCTAAGACTTCAATTTTTTTTAACAAATCAATCAGGCTGTAAATAAACATTCCATTCGCGTATATGGACATCTAAACACGAATACAAGTAAATTGGGATTCATGCTGCTGCCACGTGCAAAACCATCTTTCGTCCTCACAAGTGGAGTTTAGCTGGTTTCTGGTGAGCGTTAAACAAACCTACTGACCATTTGGATGCACAATCGTGGAGCAGAAAATGGTATAAACACTGATGCGTTTATTCGTAGTCAAAATTGTGGGTAAGTTGCTAAAGTGGAGTTCGAGAACAGTTGAACAAAGGACTGGCGTTCTTCCTTGTCATCGTATGCTAACATTCATTTTATCTACCACACAAAAGTAAATAAGCAAATGATACGATGGATGATTCGATCCCTGCATGGCCGGTGCTCTACGTTGAGCGTATTCTCCACCTAAATTGACGACTTTTGCAACTTGCAACTTCCCCTACAAGCGCTTTCATGCACATTCCAAAATAATTTAATCGCCTTGAGATTCTGTCCATATATATCTTAGCGCTGCCAATTGTCTCAAAGCGTGAAAACCGTTGTTGTAGATCAACATTGGTAAAACATTGCGAAGATGGAAATTGATCAGATGGACCGCTTCGGTCCAAATGGCATTTCACCACAAGTGTTAGGCATTGGTCTCTTTTGCACAACGGTCAAATTATCTTCTCAAATTAAGATAAAAGGCCCATTTAAAGCCGAAATA